TGTTCGTCGTACACTTCTAGTCGCAACGTAGGTACTTCGATTTCCGCCGGGATTACTGCCTCGGTGCCGTATGTGAGGTTAAAGGGGGTCTCACCTGTGGCGGTTTTTTTCGTGGTTCGATGTGCCCATAGAACACTTAGTAGTTCGTCTGCCCACAAACCTTTGGCTCGATCCAATCGCGCTTTCAGTCCGCGGAGGATGACTCTATTCATTACTTTTGTTTGGCCATTTGCCTGCGGGTGTACGACCGATATGAAATTCTGACTAATTCCCATACTTCGGCACAATTCATTCATTCAACAATATATCATTTGCTTAAATAATTCAGGTTTTGATTGAGACATTATTAGTTACGTGAAAGAATCAAGAATCAAGACAGGCCCATGAAACACAACCACCATTTAACTGTCGTCTAGCGTTGCAGTACTTAGATATGCTGTCAGGTTACCAGTATTCACATTTCTACCCAATTTTGGGTTCTGTTTGTCTTCAGCTTTCAACGGAAGTGGGCGGAATTTTTTTTTCAGGCTGCCTGAAATACTTGAGCAGTTGAGATGTACTTTCCAGTTTTCACAACATGACAAGACTTCTGTCTTCTTTGCCATTTATATATCAGAACAAATTAGGAGTCCAATATATGGTTTTGCCCTCGAAAAGAAGGCTGAAATAAGAGCTGAAACATTTCATACTCCTGAAAAGACTATATTTGTTCATCCTATATACTTTGAAAGGAGAGTATGTTTGGTTGCAACTTGATATGAAATGATGCCATGGTGGATTTGATCTATATTTTAGAGAATTAATTAAGTTCATCATTTCAAATGGAAAGCGATCCCAGTTGGAAGTTTGGACTTTGGAGCAAGGCAATTTCCAGATTTTAACTGGGAAAGAATTTAAAACCATCTTATTTGATAACAAATTAAAATGAACCAAATTCGTTTTACATGGGACTGAGACAATTGTCGCATCAGGAAAAAAACTAAAATATGTTTCTATTTTGAGAAGCAAAAACAAGTTAGTTTTGTTTCAGAAAACGATTCACGTTTTTTGTAACCATCAAAATGATGGTTTTTAAAACAAAAAGCACATATACAACTAAGAACTTGTATTTATATACAGAATTTTGTATCAACAGACTTAGCCATGTGATTGACAAATGACAATTGGTGTCCCAACTCCCAAATCCGACTCTAAAACATCAGTTACCCGTCAACATCGATCTACCTTCTTGTCGTTGGAGGTTGGACTAGAACATGAATTACACCCATTCTCAGGACATAGGTAGAAGAAAAAAAAAAAAGCAACTTCAAGCCACTTGACATTTTTGGCAGAGAAGGTTTGTTTCTTTACATGACATTTTCCTCCAGCTAGAGGAAAGAAAAAAAATCGGTATTCGTAAAACTAATGAATAAAAGAATCACCTGTCCTTAAACCAGCCAAAAAATCCTTCCACCTATCCAATTCTGAATTCCCCAGTATAACTGACAAAAACTACAGTAGAAACTATTCCCCCCAACCCCGAACCTGCAAATTCAACCCAAATTGACAACAGCAAACGTCCCTAATAGTAGTAACCTTGCAGGGAACAAGAGCACAACCATCAAATGCATGTGCTGTGATGCAACAAGCCTGCTGAATCGATTCAATGATTCTCTTCCAGTTCGTAGAATGCCAGAGAAATTTACTTGGTGCTGACCCATGTTGTTGGGTGCCACATGCCCACTCACTATGACACCATGTGGCACCACAAGGGGCCACCAAACTCGGCGGCGGTGCTCCCCCTTAGCCTTCCTTATGCGGTTGAGCTCTTGACGAATCACACCCCTCACAGACCTCAAGTAGGATTTCATGTCATGGTCTCTGTAAATGGTGCCATCGGATCCATAAGCAGACCGGTCACTAAGAATCTCAAGTGGATGGGGTGAGTTGAAGAACACTCTGTGTGCAGCTCGGAGTTCCTTCTCTGCATCAATAGAATCTGAACCTTGACACTTGAGAAGGTAAAGGCCACCACCAGAAGGGAGTAAGTGGTGGTGTGGGGATAATTTCTCATCTGGCTGTAAGATCAGAAGATCCCCCATCGGAGCATACAGCAGTTTCTGTACAAAATATGACATGAGGTTAATATTAGAACTTCTATACATAAGCAGTGTCTAAGTTTTCCTGTTTGATGCAAGTACTAGATGCATGATGCATCCAAAGCATCTGCAGTTGGCAGTATTACATGTTAAGATAGATATCAATTGGCAGGGCCGTGGTTCAAGATATCTTGATTTACAGACACGTCTTGAAACAACTAACCTATAGGAAACGGAATCTCCTCCAGATTGGTATCAGACAACTAGGTCATGACATATCGGACTTGTTAAGCTATGATGATTCATTTGTTAGAAGCTATACCAGTTTCTCTCAGAATCAAGCCAACCATTAATGCTTACAAAATCTTATACAAAATGTCACTTGGATTTGGCAATTGGCATTGCTAAATGGTTTGAATTCATGTTTTCCATCACGGAGCAAAAGATAATACCTGGTTCTTGAGACATGGATGATTACGGAAGCTAGCGTTGACTGCTCGGAGAAGTTCTGCCACACGATCAGGGTAAGTGCAAGAAAAAGCCCGGGGAACAATATCTCGGTGCATTGTAATTGCTTGAATATGATTCCTTGGCAAACCCAATTCTTGAAGCAACTGATTGCCTCCACACATGATAGATGGGGAGCCAAATGTTATGACAGGAAGTAAGGAAGAGAGTTTCACTTCTTTCCGGATTAGCAACATGAGGTTTATAAGAAGGGAAAGGCTTCCACCAAGGGAGTGTCCAGTGAAACGGAGTTTTGCTCTGTCACCACGAGACTTCAGATGGGAACGGACTTCAGGCAACATCTGTTCATAGATTCCTTTGGCAGCTTCATAGATACCCCTATGCACAAGCACATCCAGTTCCTGGGCCATAAAGGAGGAAAATTCATTTCTCTATATGGCTAATACTTTTAACATCCAAAAACAAAAAAGAACGAAATTGAGCTGCTGCTAGTGAATCGAAAATTTTACCTCAAATTGAATGGGCTCGAAGAGTAAATTTGTTTGCCAAGAAGCCAGTGATTCAGAACCCTGCATGATAAAGTAACCAAAATCCTATTAGAAATTAGAAAATACAATTATATGCATCAAGATTACAGAAAACATAGGAAAAGTCTTGACATGAGAGACTTATACTACTTATTAAATGGTATCATCAACTATAGACACCCAATAAATATACATTCCAAAGGTGTAAATGAAGGGATCATACTTAGGTTAGGTCTTGGAACAATCATAATTGTCCTCTGGCCTCTGATAACTTTCTTGATCTTAACAGTCATAAGAACATGGATACAGGTGCATGAATAAGTTAGCTGTTTTGTATAACTAAAATCATATTAAAGAGGCATTTGTTTACTAAAAAATACTAGCAGTAATACCATTTACTAAAATGTTAAAGCACTTATTTGGCATCTACTACTCGGTTGGCCAAGGATTATAAAATGAATGATTTCCAGATCGATCATTCAGAGCTTAATATTTACTTCAAAATGATTCAACATGAATTGAGGATGCATTCTATATGTAATTTTCTGAAAGGATTCAAACCACAGGGACCATATCCCAAGTTCACTAAGTTAACAGTCCTACAAATAGGACAGGATTGATAGTTACTAGTCTAACATTCTGTATAAATAATTTCCCTACCTGAATGACAAAGAATCTTGTCGCACTCTGATCATCATCACATATGAACCACTCACAAGGCGAAGAATGTGCTGAGTTCAAGTCCTTCACAACAGCTTGTTTCAATTCCTCCTTTGCTGCAACAACAGCAGTAACAGAGTTGGTAGTCGCCACTAGTGAAGCTACTTCTGAGCTCACTGTGTTGACATTGTCACTGGCTTCTGTGCACTTATCCACTGAATCCTTCCTAGCGTCAGCCTTTGAGGATTTGAAGGAAAGAATGCTCCTTGTTTGAGAATGCAAGTAAGAAGCAGCAGAGGCAGCAATCTGATATGCAGCAGAAGCACTTATGCGGTGTCCATCTTTCCTCTGTTCCCTGTCCTCTGTTTCTTCCTCAGGCTTCTTTTCTGGTTCTTGAACATGTGATGAGTTCCGCTCCTTTCCACCATTGGGTGACCGTGCTTTCTTCTCAACCGTAGAAGTAACAAAACGTAGCCCATGATACTTCAGGAGATTTCCTGGCTGAAAAGCAAAAGAAGTCAAAAATTAACAAAAAACACACAAATGATGGGCTACGTTTTGCTTTTCAGGCGAACACATTTGGATTTTGGTTGCATATATCTGCAAAGCAGGCAAATGATTTCCTGCAAACAAGGCACCAATGTGTTTGCCTTAAGCCAAATTTCTAAGCTAAAATATCCCCATTTGTGAAAATTTCTAATTATTAATCACGCAGTAGAACAGTGGAAAAGTTCAAAAGTTTGCAAATGGTTTTCTTGATTGACACTAAATAACACAAGAGCATCAAATGGGTACCTTAATTTTGGGTATTGAATAAGCCAAGTGCCCCAAATACGACATTTGGGCATACAGTTTTGCTTCTGCCAACGACACCCGCTGGAGCAATCTTGAGAACGAATCCCGATCGAATTGGAGCTCCTCTTCAGGAGCCCTAGACCCCTCACCGTCACAGGCATCGCAGCAAGAACACTCCCTGACTAGACAATTCACCGGATCGCTCTCTTTCTGCTCCTCTGGCTCCAGTTCACAGACAGAGCTCTTCCCCTGTTCCGAGTCCGAGTCCGCCCAAAGAGACCTGACATGAAGAATCTTGGAAACCCAGTTGCCCCGCCTCTCCCCGGACTGGTCGCATCCAATATCTGCTCCTTCGATGGCAATGGAATCTCCTTCCACTGCTGCATCAGCAGGGGCGGAGATAACAACGGCGTCGTCGAGGGCAATGGCGTCGTTTCGCTTCCTTCCACCAAACCAGAAAGATCTGAGGGGGTGGTACACGAAGGAAAATATGGAGCAGGAAGAGGTGTTCCGAGGTGCAGAAGTGGTAGAAGTGGAATTGTCCACGGAAATGGCATTAGTGTTGGGGGAGGCACCGCCGCCTGCAGAACGTCCGAAGGCGCTAACATGAGTGAGGTAGGTACGGCCGTCGATTCCTGCACCAGAAGGGACGGAGACCGGCGTCGGCGTGGAGAGCCCATGAATCCCCCCAACTCGGAACAGGGACAAACTATCCATTATTTTTCCTCCGTCTTCCTTTCTATTGTTCTAGTGTATGAAAATTGTAAACTGCTGTTTTTGAGTTTTCTTTTCTTTTCTATTTTTTTTTCATAAAATAGGCAAGGGAAGGGCCCCGCCGTGAAGAGGGGGAATGGTAACGTGCAGCTCCGGAGTGCACGGCGGGAGCTTCCATAACAATCTTCGAAAGACAAAGGAAGAGAGGCGTCGAGCAATAGAAGGGTGATTATTAGGTATGGGGGCCTATGGGCTGTACCCAAACCGGTAACAAACCTTTGAGTTGACACCGCGAGTTCGTAACGACCAACGACTACGAATCGAAGGGAGGAGCTGAGTTGTTAAAACGGTGTTGATGCCGTGTTGTGTTGCTGGACGTGGGACCCTTATATTTCTTAGTTGGAGGGTCCTACAGATACCGGAAAAAAAAAAATTCTGGCATCTTTCTTTCGGTAGATCTCATATAAGTGACTTACCCTTTTTCAGTTTGTGCTGGAGGATTGTGACTCTGAGTGTGAGAGTGCGACCTGTCACCTGTGCGGGCAGCCCGATACCCAACTACGAATGGAAACGGGGCGGGCACCCGTTACTGTCCCTGCCCCGTAGCCAAAATCCTCAACCCCGTCCCCTGTTAGGGCTGTTAATGGGTTGGGTACTTAGGGTCTATATGGATCCGAATCAATTAAATTGATTATAACGGTTCGGGTTTCATGGTTTTTTTTTCTAATTATAATAATTGGATCATTTCCATTTGGGTTTTTAGCATATAAGGGCAACTTTTGGGGTTTGATATCAATAAAAATAATATATTTAAAAAAAAATTCAAAAATAGGTTAACTTTTTAAAAATAATATCAATAAAGGACAAAAATACTGTTCATCTTCTTCTTCTTGCCATTTGTTCACCGTCTACCGCTACCGCCCACCGCCCATCTCTGCCTCCACCTCTAGTTGTCGGAGGCGGTGGCGGCGGCATTGGTGGTTTCTCTGTCCAACGCCACCACCTCCGCCTCTGCCTCTAGCAACGTTGTCGGAGATGGGTGGAGACAGAGGTGGCGGTGGCGGCGGCATTGGTGGTTTCTCTGTCCAACGCCACCACCTCCGCCTCCGCCTCTAGCAACGTTGTCGGAGATGGGTGGAGACAGAGGTGGCGGTGGCGGAAAGTAGAGGAATGACCACCAATGCCGCCGCCACCTCTAGCAACGTTGCTAGAGGCGGAGGCGGCGATGGGCGACAACGGATAGTGGCTGCAGATGGCGGCTCTAGTGAACAAATGGCAAGAAGAAGATGATGAACAGTGTTTTTGCCCTTTATCAATATTATTTTTAAAAAGTTAATCTATTTTTGAAATTTTTTAAATATATTACTTTTATTGATATTAAATCCCAAAAGTTGTCCTTATATGCTATTACCCCTTTCCAGTTTTTGCCTGTCTCAAATTAATTCAAATCTGAAATTGATTATTTTATTAAATATATAATATTTTTTTATATTTTTTATCATATTTTATATTTAAAATAGTAAATTTAATAGATAATAAACAAGATAATGTTAATTAAAAATGTTTAAATTATTAACATAAAAATAATTTAGCATTTTAAGGCTATATTATCGATTTTTAAACTTATATTATTTAAATCAACGAAGATAGTTTTCAATACAAGTAGGTCTATCGGGTCAATTCTGGGTCTGTGATTTTGTCCCAATTAACGAGACTGGTTTTACCTAAACCTAACCCATTGACAGTCGGGGCAGGGCATCTCCTCCCTACGGAGATGAGGAATCAACAAATTTTCTCGGCCTGAATCAGTTACTTAAAAATACACCATATTTGAAGGTATTTTAAAAATTGGATTATGAAAATTTATAATATTTTAAAAATTGGATTATGAAAATTTATAATATTTTAAAAATTAGATCATAAAAATTTGAAAATATTATAGAAATTGGATTATGAGATCTAAAAGTTTTAAGAATTTAGAGGAAATTTAAGAATATTTTAGAAATTAATATTAAATATAAACATATTTTAGTAATTTACCACCAAATTAATTTAAAGCGGGTTCATGGAACTAATTATATACAGCGATTAAAGCACACACACCAATGCACCATGACTCTGCTCACACAACCAAAGCCTCAAGGGGGCCATAGATTTCATGGTTCACATTGAATATCTATTGGTCGAACCAAATTGGCCCGGATTTCTTGAGTCTATAAAAACTAAATAAACCCTCTTATTATTAATTACTGCTTTCATTTGAACAAATGCTTATCTTCATTTCAATCAACTTAGCCTATCTTTGGTTTGAAGGAAAAGATAGGGAAAGGAAAAGAAAGTTGGGGAAATCTATACAAGATTTGTAAAGATTTTCTTACCTTTCTCTACTTTTTCTTTCAAACCAAACACGGCCTTAATGAGAAATCCTCTTGAGGGGGAATTAAACCCCAAAACCAAGGAAAACACTGGCGTTTATCAATAATTATGCTAATAATATAATCTGTGAATTGTTTGACTCGTGGCTTTTAAAAATGACCCGAAGACCGAACCGGTCAGGGGTCCGGTTACCGAGTCGAATGATCCGAACGGTCGACCCGTTCTGATAAAAAAATAAAAAATAATAAAAAACGATCAAAACCGTTCGAATAGTTAACTGTTCGAGTCAGCGGTTTGCTGACCAAAATCAACGATTTTGGGAAAAATCGAAACCGATCACCTGATTGATTCCCAATTTTCTAGTCCAACCATCCAGTCTGGTCCGGTTTTGAAAACCATTGTTTGACTTGCCTACCTATTTGCATCATTCTTCTTTAAATGATAAATTTTTCTTAGTTAGAAGGTGATGACAAAATAATGACCAACGAGACATCATTTTCTCTAATGATGATTGTGATTCAACGAGCCATGCAATTAGGTCTCGTTAGTTTTTTACTTACCTGGATAAGTAAATTTATACGGACAAGTGTTTCTCAGTTAAAACTTGCCTGAATATATCAAATTTTCAGTGTTCTTATACACTACCAATTATCTGAGTAAAGAGAGAGGTGAGAGGGAAAGAGTGTTACAAGCGTGCGGATAATTTGTTTATCCACCTTGCGGGAAGGTATGATCTGTTAGTTGGGTAATCGACACTCTCATATATCCTCATTTACCTTAAAACCCAATATAACGGCAAATGAATACCAACATTGTGACCAATTAATAGCCCCACTAAATACCAACAAACAAAGGGGCCTTAACTTAAGGCCATAAGGGACAGGTCAAATCAGCTTGACGAATGACTAGGACCTAATTAAATGAATGCAAGAAATGGCCACCTAACCAAAATCATCCATGATGTTAGAACGCATTACATCACCAAAATCTGAACCTGATAAATTGCCCCATAAACTTCATTTTCATAACCAGTACTAAGTGCCAAAACATTCCACATATTTAAGTTTTTATATGATTTCGAATTAGGCTCTATATTTTTGCGGTGCACATTTAAACCAGTAGAAATTTGCATTGATTCATCTATAATCATAATTTGCATTCTTTTTTTAAAGCAAATTTATCTTTTTTTTTTTCATTCACAGTGCAAAATTTGAGTTTATAAGTCAAGATATGCCACTAAATAAAATGGAATGGTGAAACAGAATTTCTGAGGGCCGGAGTCCAGTATATTGGTGGGGTTTTTGCCTCCCCTAATAGTTATAAAATTTTGTTTATTTTTCTTTTTTAAAAAAATTAGGGTAAATTACAAAGACCCTCCTATATTATAACCATGAGACAAAGACCCCCCTTGGCCTCTTTCCATGATACTTTCTTTGTTCTCTCTGGAGTAAAGATTTGGTTCTTTTCTCCATCCACTCCAACCTGTGGCATGTGCCAAGCTTAACCCATTGGGTAGCTACTGCTCACGGACTGAGATATATGGTGCAGTTTAAGCTTAGAAAGTTGATGCATGATTACCTGATGTCCCCATCCAATGGCAGATGGATCAAGTGTTTCGGTGTTCAAACCTTGGACATCAGAGAGAGATCCTTACTTAAGTTCCTTGTTTAAGATAAGAAAGAAAGGAAATTGAACATTTCAGAATATATATATTACCGGGAATCCGACTGTCATTACTAACAATTGTATGTGGTTGGTCCCAGGTTTCAAGGGTACTGGTTTTTGGAATGTGAAAGCCTTTTCAATATGGCTGTCACGTCCGGACCCTGAAATCCAAAACAAGGAAAAAGAAGCAGAATATATATGTATAGTAGGGTGGTCTAGGCAATTAGTTAATAATCAAATTTAAGTTGTCTGCTCTTCATCTGCAACGAACTGAAAACAGAGAAAAAACAGAGAAAATTGGAAAGAAGAAAGGGGAAGGGGAAGAAGAGAGATTGGGGGAGAGACAAAGAGAGAGGGAGAGAGAGAGTGGGAGGACTTCAACGGAAGTTCATCACTACTGCTATTTGTGTATTGTAAGGTTGTAAGGTTATGAAAGATGAACAGTGGTTTTCTCCCAATTAATAGTTATTACAAAGATAGTATGGGGATTAATAAATACTATAACGCCGGATTTCAAAGAAAAGCTAATGGTAGGGGGTCTTTATCTCACGGTCATAGTACAGGGGGGTCTTTGTCACAAAACAAAGTACAGGGGGGTCTTTGTCACAGACCCCATAGTACAGGGTCTTTGTAATTTACCCAAAAATCTATAATAGGCCCAAACCTTCCCAACCCATTTTCCTACACAGCCTAAATTGGCAGGTGCAAAATTTGCACCACATTTTCCCTACCTTCATTCTCTCCATCTCATACAAAGTCAAAATCACATAATTTTATATCCCATTTTACCCCTCACAAAACAATAGTAGATTAGAATTTATATTCAGTTCATTTTCATTTGAATACATTTACAGTGCAAACAAATTGATTTCTTGTAAGAATTTAAGATCAATTTCTATGATGATGGAAGGATATGGTATAGAAATAATTAAATCTTCGTAAACAAAAAAGCAAACCCATATAAGGTGTTCATTAAAGCAAGCACGGCAATTCGTGAACTCAATATCACCAAAAGGATAGAATGTGG